ATATCAAAATTAATTATGACTATCACTTTAGGCACTCTCCAACCCATGAAGGACTAAACCCAAATTTCCCCTCTCCAAAAAGTGACTATTTGGGTTTTGCCCAGACTTAAATTTTAAGTCCGCAACTTTATTAAATTGTTTAGGAATAATTTAAGTCTAATTTTCTTTTTATGGAAAACTTTTCTTCATTTATCTTTTTAAATAATGTCATAATTTAATTTTTTGAACAATTTTATCTATAAAAAAATTGAAATTCTATAAATTGAAATTTATTCCAAAAGTAAACAACAACAAAACACAAGCAGGATTGAATTGCAACAGCCAATTGAATTGCATGATTTAAAAAGTAAACAGACTCATTTTTAAAGTTACTTGCATGATTTTAATTTATTAAAAAAAAAGGCATTTGAATTGCAACAGCCCATTGACCAGAAGCAGACAAGTGGGATGGGCCAGCAGACAAAGCCACCAGCGCCGGGCCTAACGCGGCCCCCACTATTTTTCTTATGCACATGGTCTGTGCCTTTTTGTTGGTGGGCTCTACTGAATAGTTTTGGGTCCATGCAATACTTGGACTGGTATTTGGGTCCAAATTTGGGTTTTCCTAAATTTTGGTCCCTTCACTTTCTTGGGTTTGGAGAGGTTTTGGATAATAATTTGGGATATTTTGGGTTTAGGTCCTTGGATTGGAGATGGCCTTAGGCCTACTCCAACCCATGAGGGGCTAAACCCAAATTTCCCCCTTCCAAAAAGTGACTAGTTGGATTTTGCCGAGACTCAAATTGTTTTTTCTCCTAACCGTCCGGACCCAAATTTTAAGTCCGCAACTTTATTAAATTATTTAAGATAGTAAGGAAGTGTTTTCTGTTATGTGATTTGTAACAACCCGATCCTTACTTAATTTTTAACTATTATTTTATTTAAGAAAACGACTAGAATACCCCTGTAATATTTTATATGGTTTAAAAGATGACTTTTGATCGGGAATGAATTTGGGAATTTCAATTGCACCGTTGTGTAGAGCACATTGAGACGAGTTCGTAGACACGGAGTGGGCCCAAATCCGAGTTGTATTGAGGGAGATACTATCAAAATAAGTTGATGGGCAAAATAGTAATTTGTCATGTCATATATTTTAAAACTGACTTCTTTCTCTCTCTCGGCCCCCCCTGTGACCCCGACCCTTCCTTCGGTTTTCTGCACAGCCGATGGCTCCAAGGAGCCACCGCCGCCACTACAGCCCACAGTTGGCCATGGGGTTGGAACCAAATGAACCGGACAGTCTCCCTTTTCCCTTCCCGATCAAGTTTCGTCGTCAAAACTGCCGGAATCTGCCGGAAAGAACCCAAAAATAGTCCGGTTTCGCTCAGAATTTTTCGTGCTCTAGTTGATGGTTGGGTAGGATTTGAGAAATTTATAGCGTGACAGGGTTAATTTTGAATCTATGGTTCGACCAGTTTTGAGATCGCATTTTCAGCCATTTCCAGCCAGTTTTTGGGGTAGGTTCAAGAACAAAAGTGGATCAAATTAGGGTGTTACACCCAGGATAGGAGTCTTCAGCTGTGATTTGGAGTTTTTCTGGCGAAGTGTTATCGCCTTAGGCACCACGTGCTGCCGGCGCGTGGGGAAGCGCTTGGGCAGCAGGGTGGGAACCACTTTCAGTCCTAGAATAATCACTTGGTCCTCACGAGCGTGTGGGTACTCGTGGATTCCAATTCGAATAATGTTTAAACCCTGAACGGATCTCGCCTAGTGTGTGATTTCTGGGTTCAGTATGTTTGAGCCGTTGGATCGTAGTCATTTTTAGATATGTTGATCTAGGTAATTTCAAGATCATATATGATTTGGCAGATCGTAAAACGGGGTCCCGGTTACTCCAGAAAAGCCAACCTCAGGGTTAGGTTTATAGTAATTGCCCGATCGTGCGATCGTGGGTAATCCGACCATCTGATCGAGACTAAACTCTCGGGACGTGTCTCCTAGGATATTGGAACCTTTATGGGACTTCTGAATGGTGCGGTGTGAGGATTGCGGCCCGAATAGAAGCGGTATCTCCGAAGCCTACGAGGGTTGCAGCTCAGTCTGTGAGGATAAATAGTTAGTTATAGGTGACAGCCTGGATAAAAGCGGTATCTCCGAGGCCTGCCAGGATTGCAGCCCTGCCTGCGAGGAGGGTACTGATAGCATTATTGAAGTTGGTGGATCAGGAACAAAGGAAAGAACTACGTGTGACTTGATCCCTCAGTAAGGGTACGTAGGCAGCCTAAGGTTACAAGGTGCAACCACGAGTAGAAGTCTTTGAGTTTGTGTTTTTGTTTTTTAGGGCATTTTGGTCATTTGTGCCCCACACCCACCAGGTGTTAGTTGTAAACAGGACCCGAATTTCAAAGTGGAATTTAGGTCGGGTCTTTTCATGATTGGTCCCTTTTTAAAATCTGAGGATATTGTCAACATGATGATGATATGATGATGATGAATTATTTGTTGGTTAGATTGACAACTGTGGTTAGATTCCCAAGCAAAACCAACAGACCCCTCATCCCCCCTCCCAATCCCTAACCTGCAGACTACTGGAGTGTCGGACATGCCCCCGACACGCCCCCAGCACGCATTGGACACGGTCAATACCCTGCTCCGACACTATAAAGACGCAGCAGGGACCAGTTTCAAATTTTGAAAATAAAATTAAGGGTTTAAACATGATTTCTGAAACTTTGGTGGACTGATTTGAAATATTTTTAAAAAGAGGGGTTAAAAGTGGAAAAAGAATTTTGTAAACCTAAATCTCACCTTTTTAGCATACACATTCCATTTCCTCCATCACAACACGCATCTCTTCTCCCCTTCTCCTGGTTTTGCACGAGGTAAGTCTCTCTGCAATTTTTTTTTCTCTGTTTTCAAGTGCATTTATTTATATTCTCTATTTTCTTTCCTTATCTCCCTCCACAGCAGTAGAAGAGTTGGACTTGGTGGTGAGGTGACGATTCTTTCTTCTGTTTTTTTATAAGAGAAACACAACAAATAATTATTATTTTAATGTTTTATTTTCTTTTTGTCAAAACTTCAGAAATTTATTAAAATAAAGAATCAAAGTTTACATCACCAATTGCCAATGACAACACCGATCGACACACAGATACCCCCGATAACCGACCTTTTGTGGGTCGACAGTGGTTCCAATTTTGGGTATACCACATGCTTTCAGTCGGCATGCGGTATGCGGTGGTTCTAAAAAGTTTCATATTAGGAAAAGCAAAGGGTGTCTCTCTCTCTCTCTCTCATTACGCACATCACATGATCTATGACTTTCTCATTTGTGTTTTCTTTACCAATAACAGATATTCTTCGTCAACTTTCTAGTTTTTGTAAAGACAAGAAAACTTGATAGTCCAGACCAACTGGTACCAATGACAATTTCTCGGGATATTCATGGCCAGTTTCACAAACACTGGTGGACAATATCTAATTGCGGAATGCTAGCAACTCTCTGCAACCTTCTCATTTGGATTTTCTCCCTTTTCCTCATGTCATGTGTCACTTTCCTTCACTTAAAACAATGTAACTTAATGCATCAAACAAGAGCTAACATTTGTTTTCCAAGTTTACCCTTATTAAATGTTTTGTCCTTCAATTTGTTCAAAAACAATTTTACAACTCTCGTACCATATGTCAAAAATTAAATAATAAAAAATGTATGTTTTAAAAAAAGAAAATGTCTATTTTTTTCATAGATAAAACTTCTATTTTTTTAAACACAGAAGAATGACCTAAAAAAACACTCAATAGAAAGATCACATTCTTATACAGAAAAAAGACTTCCTTCAAAAGGAAGTTCATTAATTGCATATTTTTATACTACTAAACAAAGTTAAAGAGCATTTTCAGCGACAACTAAAAAAAAAAATATATACTACTAAACAAAGCAAAGGAAGTTCAAATAATCAGATTCCATAGGAAGTTCATAGTTTTATTTATATTTATTTATATCCCTTGTTGCCTTTGGAGTCTGATTATTTGAAAAAAAAAATATTCCTAAAATTCTGGCATACCAAATTTTAGATTTAAACCAATGTCTCTCCTTACTCCATTTGGAATCTTTCAGGCAACAAAAAGTAAAACTAACGTTTTTTCTTAATTAATTTTTAACAAGGTGGTAAGAAATTTTTTTTATTTAAAAAAAAAGGATAAATTAAAGAAAACAGTAAAATCAATATATTTAATAATTGAAAAATTGGAAAACTAATGATGGCTTGTTTGATGCATTAATTACATTATTTTAAGTGTAAGAAAATGGACACATGTCATTAAAAAAAAAAGAATGTGCAAAAGAAAAGGTTGAAAAGAAAGTTGCTACCATTCCCCTTTCTAGCTACTTAAAGACAAGAAATTAGATACTAAACTTCATGGTTGTGGTGGACTTTAGCACTTTATTTCTTTACAAATTTATAAATAAACTCAATCCTAGACATGTATTTATAAAAAAATTCAAGCACTATTTAAACATAGAAACACATCCAAAATTAACCCCAAAATCAACAATTGTATATTTTTTGGGTGTGTTTATAAATGAGTTTTGAGTGTGTGTAATGATGGAGTTTGGGTATGTTTATAAAGTGTTTTGGGTGTTGAGTTTTTTTATAATTTCAACCCCTATTTTGGGTATTTTAGTGAAACTCCCTTATTTCTTTGTCATTTGGGTATGAAGTCCAATATATTGGTACAGGCACACGTGGTCCTTGGTCGAACAGTAATATAGGTAAGCACTAATCAGGGCATTAATCATGTTAATTATTCTAACAGAAGCGGGATCCAGCTTATCCTGCAGTAGACTGGGCCAAATTTTTGAGGTGGATGTCTAACTATGCCTTTCTCAGTGCAACGATGGAGGATCCAAATTTTTGTCAAGAAAAGTAAGAAATATTAACAATTTAGACAAAAATTAAAAACTTGGCAACATCTAAATTATAAGAAAATAAGAAGAAAATAATAGTGTTCTTGTGAATTTTTATTTGAGGATTTATTTTTCTACTTGACAAGAAAAGCATCACATGAGTTCGCATTGTTGGGCTATAAATTATGGAAGTTTCCAAGAATAAATTTAGAGTGGTGATTTCCCCACTCAAATTTTATCCACTTACACTTCATTTTATAACTAAAGAATGAGTGTAATTGGATAAAATTGTAGTGGAGAAATCATTATCCTAAATTTAGGTAGAATTAGGTATGAATTTAGGAGACGTCGCTACAAAATCCCACCCTTTGATGCCAGCAAAGGCATGACGTCACCACTTGCATCCCTGGCCCAGAGCATTAATTCCAACATTCATCGTCGAAATGAACTATTTCCATCAAAAGATCTAAAACCTACCTCTCTTATTCCATTCTGACAAACCAAAAAAAAAAAAAAAAAAATCCTCTCTTATTCCATATGGAGAAAGCTTCACAGCTAGTCGTCATCCCATCCGGCCGCATCGGCCATCTCGTCTCCGCCGTCGAGATATCGAAGCTCCTTGTTTCCCGCCACGACCAACTTTACATCACCGTCCTCATCATGAAGCTACCCTTCGACTCCAAGGGCACAGAGGCCTACAGAGCCTCCCTCGAAGCCTCTCCCGTATTGCCACGTGTCAACTTCATCACCCTCCCAAAAGTCCCAGACCTAGACAAGCACCTCAGCTCCCATTCCTTCCGCAACCAGTTCATCGAAAGCCACAAAACCAACGTCAAAAACGCGGTCGCCGAACTCACCGAGTCACAGTCCGATTCAAGGCCTCGGCTTGCTGGCTTCGTCATCGACATGTTTTGCACAACAATGATCGATGTGGCGGATGATTTTGGGGTTCCTACGTACATGTTCTTCACTTCACCTGCTGGGTTTCTCGGGCTGCTGTTTAACCTGCAAAGAATTCGCGATGTGTATGGCAAGGACGTCAGTGAGTTCAAAGACTCGGACACTGAGTTGTCCTTGCCCACTTTTGTCAACTCGGTTCCCGACAGAGTCTTGCCCAGTGTGGTTCTGGACAAAGAGGGCGCGGAGACGTTTCTAAGCTATGCCAAACGGTATACAGAAACCAAGGGCATTTTGGTAAATACATTCAAGGAGCTAGAATCACATGCTCTTGATTCTCTTTCTGATGGTGAAACCCCGCCTTTGTATCCTGTGGGTCCCATGTTGAATCTGATGAGTGATGAGACCCAATCGGGTTCGGAACAGGCCCAACAGAAGTCTGATATATTGGAGTGGCTAGATGAGCAGCCTCCTTCGTCAGTGGTGTTCCTGTGCTTTGGGAGCATGGGAAGCTTTGACGAGGACCAGGTGAGGGAGATAGCGTTGGGGCTGGAGCGGAGTGGGCTCCGGTTCTTGTGGTCTCTACGCCAGCCCCCACCAAAGGGGACCGTTGTGTCCCCCGGTGACTACTCGAATCTCTCAGGGGTCTTGCCCGATGGGTTCCTCGATCGGACGGCTGCGATGGGAAAGGTCATAGGGTGGGCTCCGCAGGTGGCGATCTTGGCCCACCCGGCAGTAGGAGGGTTCGTATCCCACTGCGGGTGGAATTCCACACTTGAGAGCCTATGGTTCGGAGTGCCGATGGCCGCGTGGCCGGTGTACGCGGAGCAACAATTAAATGCCTTTGAATTGGTTAGGGAGTTGGGATTGGCAGTGGCAATTAAGATGGATTATAGGAGGGACACCCAAGTGGTTGTGAGTGCGGAGGAGATAGAGAGAGGGATAAGGGAGGTGATGGAGCATGATAGTGATGTAAGGAAGAGGGTGAAAGAGATGAGTGAGAAGAGCAAAAAAGCCTTGATGGAAGGTGGCTCCTCACACTCTTCATTGGGACATTTTCTTGATCAGATTTTCCTTTGATATATTACGAAAGTCCTAGAAAAATAAGCTGTGTTTGTTTCTATCATGAGTGTATATATGCTCCTTCACCACATGAACTGAGGTTGATATATTTATTTCGGTGCACATTCAAGATCTTCAATATCTTAATCAATTACATAATAGAATCAGGGGCAGAGCCGAAACCAGGCTTGAAGCGATCTTGGATGAGGAAAGGAAACCATGATCTGTACGCCTTTTAAATTAACAATGAAAGTGATTTGCCGATCGGTTCATTATAATTGTTTTCTATTCATCAACTTTCTACTTCAATTTTGTGGTGCGTACCCAAAAAAGAAAAATGTTGTTAAATGAATAGGACATAGAATACTGTTTTGAATTTGAAAAAGAAAAACTCCAAGTGGTTATCCATAGAATCAACATCCTGAAAATACTGTTCTGTTAAATTCTGACCTCATCCTTGTTGATAAGTCTTGTGAAGTCGTGTATTTAAAGTTGCCAACTCTCTACTGCCAAGTCACACGACAACTTGTCGGACCAAAACCAGTTACGATAACTTTTGTTCTGGCTCGGTTTCCAAGTAAATAAGTTTATCAAATTTTCAAAGTCACAAGATTAATATAAAAGACAATCTTGACTAAACAAATGCCAGCAAAGGCATGACGTCACCTAGCAAAAATTGAAAACAAGTAATCAAAACAACGTTCAAAACACCACCGTGAACATGCACATGAACATGATGTATATAAAGATGTTTCATGAGCTGAGTTTTTCATCAAATAGTTATTATTTCTTCATCTCCCAAAATTAATCAAATAATGAAGAGATCAGCACAACTTGTGTTCATCCCAGCCCCAGGCGCTGGCCACATCGTGTCAACGGTCGAGATCGCAAAGCAACTCGTTGCTCAAGATGACCAGCTCTTCATCACCATCCTCATCATGAAGCTCCCCTTCGACAAGCTCTTCACCAATACAGACCCTTCAATCTCACACCGCATCAGCTTCGTCAACCTCCCGGAGTTCCACATCGACACACAGGGCCTTGCCTTCACCTCCTTCATCAAAACATTCGTCCAAGGCCACAAAACCCACGTCAAAGACGCTGTCACAAAGTTACTCGCTGAGTCAGCTCAGGTCGAGCTTGCCGGGTTTGTCATCGACATGTTCTGCACCCCCATGATCAACGTGGCGGACGAATTCCAGATTCCTTCCTACCTCTTCTTCACCTCCGGCGCAGCGACTCTAGGGTTCTGGTTCCAACTCCAGTCACTTCATGATGAGCAGAGGAAGGACGTTGCTGAGATAACTGGGTGGGATTCTGAGTTGATCGTCCCGAGTTTCATCAACCCCGTGCCTGCTGGAGTCTGGCCGGAAGTGACGCGAACGAAGGAAGGCGCCACAGACTTCATCGATTTTGCAGCGGGGTTTAGACAAACCAAGGGTATTTTGATAAACACTTTCAGGGAGCTGGAACCACATGCTCTTCGTTCTCTTTCTGATGGTAAATTCCCACCGGTGTACTCTGTGGGGCCCCTGTTGAATATGAAGAGCGATGATGGCCACGTTGGCTCGGACCAGTCCATACAGAAGTCTGATATCTTGGAGTGGCTTGATGATCAGCCTCCTTCCTCGGTGGTGTTCCTGTGCTTTGGGAGCATGGGAAGCTTTGATGAGGCGCAGGTGAAGGAGATAGCGTGTGCGCTGGAGCAAAGTGGGCAGCGGTTCTTGTGGTCCCTACGGCAGCCTGGGCCAAAGGGCAAGATGGGGATGCCGAGCGATTATGTGGATGTCAAGTTAGTCTTGCCTGAAGGGTTTCTTGATCGGACGGCTGGGATAGGGAAGGTCATAGGGTGGGCTCCACAGGTGGCCATTTTGGCCCATCTGGCGGTGGGAGGGTTTGTGTCCCATTGTGGGTGGAATTCTACGCTGGAGAGCCTATGGTGTGGTGTGCCAATTGCCACATGGCCGTTGTACGCAGAGCAACAACTAAATGCGTTTGGGCTGGTGAAGGAGTTGGGATTGGGTGTGGAAATTAAGATAGATTATAAGAAGGGCAGTGAAGTGGTGAGTTCAGAGGAGATAGAGAGAGGGATAAGGCGAGTGATGGAGAAGGACAGTGATATAAGAGCGAGGGTGAAGGAAATTAGTGAAAAGAGCAAGAAGGCTTTGACGGATGGTGGTTCTTCATATTCTTCCTTGGGACGTTTTCTTGACCAGATTTAAGTTTTGATTCGTTAAAGCTCAAGATGATGCATTGAAACCACAGTTGTTAATTTTCAATGCGTATTCAACTTTCCACTATAAAACAAAATATAAAAGTTTGACCAAGATTCCAAAGAATGCACAGGATAATCAATCGTAAAATGTGGTAAACGGTTATGAAAAGTGTTGTGAAGTTGTGTGTTTGGTCCACAATTCCTAACATGTTTTTAAGTCTTGTGAAGTTGTGTGGTCAATTATTTGAGGGCATGCCCACTCTTTGGCGCCAAGTCCACGACGATTTGTCAGACCAAAACCAATTATGATAACTTTTGTTTTGGCTTGGTTTCCAAGTAAATAAGTTTATCAAATTTTCAAAGTCACAAGATTAATGTAAAAGACAATCTTAACTAAACAAATGCCAGCAAAGGCATGACGTCACCTAGCAAAAATGAAAAAGGGAGTAGTCAAAGCAATGTTAGAAACCCCACCGTGAACATGCACACGACATGCTATATATAAAGATGTTTCATGAACTGAGTTTTTCATCAACTATTTATTATTTCTTCATCTCCCAAACTTAGTCAAATAATGAAGAGACCAGCACAACTTGTGTTCATCCCAGCCCCAGGCGCTGGCCACATCGTGTCAACGGTCGAGATCGCAAAGCAACTCGTTGCTCGAGATGACCAGCTCTTCATCACCATCCTCATCATGAAGCTCCCCTTCGACAAGCTCTTCATCAATACAGACCCTTCAATCTCACACCGCATCAGCTTCATCAACCTCCCGGAGTCCCACATCGACACACAGGGCCTTGCCTTCCCTTCCTTCATCAAAACATTTGTCCAAGGCCACAAAACCCACGTCAAAGACGCCGTCACAAAGTTACTCGCTGAGTCCGCTCAGGTCGAGCTTGCCGGGTTTGTCATCGACATGTTCTGCACCCCCATGATCAACGTGGCGGACGAATTCCAAATTCCTTCCTACCTCTTCTTCACCTCCAGTGCAGCGAGTCTAGGGTTCTCGTTCCACCTCCAGTCACTTCATGATGAGCAGGGGAAGGACGTTGCTGAGATAACTGGGTGGGATTCTGAGTTGGTCGTCCCGAGTTTCATCAACCCCGTGCCTGCTGGAGTCTGGCCGGGAGTGACAAGAACGAAGGAAGGCGCCATAGCCTCCATAGATTTTGCAGCGAGGTTTAGACAAACCAAGGGTATTTTGATAAACACTTTCAGGGAGCTGGAACCACATGCTCTTCGTTCTCTTTCTGATGGTAAAATCCCACCGGTGTACCCTGTGGGGCCCCTGTTGAATCTGAAGAGTGATGATGGCCACGTTGGTACGGACCAGTCCATACAGAAGTCTGATATCTTGGAGTGGCTTGATGATCAGCCTCCTTCCTCGGTGGTGTTCCTGTGCTTTGGGAGCATGGGAAGCTTTGATGAGGCGCAGGTGAAGGAGATAGCGTGTGCGCTGGAGCAAAGCGGGCAGCGGTTCTTGTGGTCCCTACGGCAGCCCAAGCCAAAGGGCAAGATGGGGATGCCGAGCGATTATGTGGATGTCAAGTTAGTCTTGCCTGAAGGGTTTCTTGATCGGACGGCTAGGATAGGGAAGGTCATAGGATGGGCTCCACAAGTGGCCATTTTGGCCCACCCGGCGGTGGGAGGGTTTGTGTCCCATTGTGGGTGGAATTCTACGTTGGAGAGCCTATGGTGTGGTGTGCCGATTGCCACGTGGCCAATGTACGCAGAACAACAACTAAATGCGTTTGGGCTGGTGAAGGAGTTGGGATTGGGTGTGGAAATTAAGATGGATTATAAGCAGGACAGTGAAGTGGTGGTGAGTGCAGAGGATATAGAGAGAGGGATAAGGCAAGTGATGGAGAAGGACAGTGATATAAGAGCGAGGGTGAAGGAAATTAGTGAAAAGAGCAAGAAAGCTTTGACGGATGGTGGTTCTTCATATTCTTCCTTGGGACGTTTTCTTGACCAGATTTAAGTTTAGATTCGTTAAAGCTCAAGATGATGCATTGAAACCACAGTTGTTAATTTTCAGAGGAGATTTGATGAGCATATATTTTTTCTCCATTTGTTTTACAAATAAGGATTGGTCCCATTTACGTATTCAATGCTTATTCAACTTTCCACTATAAAACAAAATATAAATGTTTGACCCATCTTGCTTTTTGACAAGTATAAATTCAGAAATTCATCGCATATTTTCCAGAAGTAAATAATTATATAATACCAATTTTTTCAACTCACAAGATTTGTATAAAATAAAATGTTAGACTTTATACAATTCGTCACAAAAATGCCAGCAAAGGCATGACATCAAATCAATTCATTAAATCTTTCTTTATCTCCACAAATGAAGAGACCTGCAGAACTTGTGTTCATCCCAGCCGCAGGCATTGGCCATGTTGTGTCCACAATTGAGATAGCAAAGCTCTTAGTTTCTCGTGATGACCGTCTCTTCATCACACCTTGTTGATGCTCTTTTTGGGAGGTCAACTTAGATAGATGTAGAATGGTGGATGATGGGTGAAGGTGAAGACCTTCAGCGTGTGTGTGAGGGTTTGGGCAAGCGATGAATGTAAAGAAGACAAGATATACGTGGTTCACCCTTAATGAATGGGCTACGTCCACGGAGAAGGATGTTCTCATTATGATAATGTATGATTACATTTGTACATGGGGTTGAACCCAAATATAAAGATGACAAGTGAGATGCCCAGGCTAGGGATCTAGAAGAGAGAGAGAGAGTCCAAGGCCCAAGGGTCTAGCTTTAAGACCCGGATCCTCTTCTAAGTGGAGAGAAGTCCCCTTTTCACATGGATACTATTCCCTATTTATAGGGAGGTTTGCATAGAATTTCGATGTGGGACTTTGTGCAAGTTGCTGTGGTGGTGATACGTGTCATGGAGATTAGGTTTGGCAGTTTGAGAGCGTCGGCAGTCGGGAGCTTCAGCAGGTGTCTGGCACCTTGGAAGAGTGTCTTCCTTCGGCGGGGGAGAAGACGTGGCCGCCTTGGTGCTAATTGTTTTGAGGCTGGATATGCTTGGTTGA